GTATATACATACATGTATGTACATATATATTCCAGCGTATGTTTATAAATATGTATGTTTGCTTGCATATCTACATTCATTTCATTTCATTTGCTTTTCGCCACATAATCTAATTATTATTATTGATTTTAATTGATTTGAAATTATTTTTTGCATACGATTTTTGATTAAACATTTATTATTGTTAGTAAATAAAATTTGCATTACTACTTCAGCAACAGCACAAATGTAAACACATATTGTTTGTAAATAGAGGGTGGGTACACCCTGCAGAACAATATAAATGCATCTACATACATTAGACTGGGTCACGAAAAAGTTTTCTTTTAAGTATTTTGAAACCTTACTTTGAAAGGGTTTCGGTCTCATAAGCCTCGCTTTGAAATCACATTACAATTGGAAGAGTTATGAAGAAAAAACATTTTGGGTGTTATTAGCTCTTGGCTAGAGTGAAAATTTTTATGGCAACTATGTAAATGCGGGTCCACCGTTCGTGTCCGGACAACTTTTTATTTGCTCTCAAAACATTTTTGCCGCAGAGGGTGCTGAAGTAAATACGGTTCACCGGTCAGTTCGGCACATTTTATTTTGTTCTAAAGCAAACAGCTGATGATATTGTTGCCTACATATGATTTTGAGGGCAAAAAACACATGCAATTCGCTGCAAACGCAATCTAACGGAGAACGCGGCTACCCGAATCATCAAGTCGTTCGGACAGAAAATCAAAATCAGTTTGATTCGAACAAAGAGTGTTCAGCACATTTTTGTCGCGCTCTCAGTGAGACAGAGTGGGAAAGGAACGCGTAAAATTACGGCGGTGGGCAAAGCAAAAAATTTTTTGCGTATTTAATATTAGTAAACAAGATAAAAAATATAGTATTTATTTTACTTGGCAGATTTTACGTTTAATAATATTTAATTAAAAATTCATTTAAACTTATGCTCGAAAGTTTGAAATATTTGTGTATTTATTTTTCCTTTTAATTAATACTCAAAAAGTTTAAGACTATTTATTGGCTAATCTAAGGCTGATAAATAAAGATCTGTAATATATTTAAGTGTACTTAATCAAAAGCTTTTTATTGTATATTCCTGAATACATTTTATTTTTTGACTCCCAAAGTAGTGGTTTTGGTCCATAATTGGACTAGTATTTTTCTGTCTATTTTGAACTAGTATGAGACTGGTATGTTTTTGACCGAAATCTGACAATTGCCATCTTGTAGGACAACCCCACGTTTGTTGCATGGAAAAAAGATAGTTGGCTGACTAGTTGGGCATGCGGTTCATACTAGTTGTGAGGTAGTTTACTACTAGTACATTTGATTACTGAGTAAGGATACACATTTGTATGTATGTATGTACATACATATTTGAGTACATAAGTATGTCGCTTTTGCACTTGAAACTAGAAATTCTAGTTGAAAAGGAAGCAATATGGTAGTAATATGCTTAGGCTATTTTTTTTTTTATGGGAAAATATTTAATATGAACTACTTATTGAATACATTCAAACAATACCTTATTTCTCTAATGTACATACATATACATATGTATGTACGTATGTATAAAATTATTAAATGTAGCTTTTCTTTGCAAAAACTTAATTAGTCCAGCAGAGAATTGGCGAACTTTCATTAAGTATCCGGTATGCAGGGAACTTTTATTAATATGTTTTATTCGTATACGAAATCAAATGGACATAATTTTTTATATTAAATTTAAATATTTGTTATAAAAATCGTATGAATGTCCTGTTCACATAATTATTTAACCGTTTTCTAAAATATTACCGATATAGACAAGTGAACTAAAGATACAGGACAGAAATTCTAGCACTTTATGGTTTTCAGATATATGTACATATTTTTCATATTAGATAATACACACTCTGCTTATCGTTACTTGTTTAAAAGGATTATCTTTTTGATGAAACTTCAGAAACCATGGAATTAGGAGAAGATTTTACTTTCCAGAACCTCTTGGGAAAGGTTCATGCTACTTGGTATGTAAATTTGTGTTAGTTAAGATCTGTCGGAACATCTTTTTAACTTAAGCTTACTAGCTTGCATACCCAGCAAACACAGTCTCTAACGTTAGAGAAATTTGGATTTCTACATTAGATAACTAGGGTATTTTTCTAATCGTCCTCGAGTCGATGACGAAGTTAGAGAACTACATTAGAATTCGATTCGAGAACGATTAGAGAAACAACGCAAATTCAAATAAGTGTAAATAAGCAATATTCCAAATGAATGAATCATAATTTTTTTTAAGTTCAAATAATTCATTATAATTTTATTGCGAATACATTTAATCAAAATTTTACAAACAAAGCGTTTTATTTAATAAAGCAAAATAGCAGTTTGAAATTCAAATTCGAGTCCCATTAGAGATCAACATTAGAATTCGATTAGAGAATTTATATTTTCTTGAGTCGAGAACTATGACCCATTTTTGTTGAGATTGCTATGATTCTCGATAGTTTTTCGAGTCGATCTCAAACGTTTGAGATTGGAGAATGTGGCTAGTTCTCCAATCATTATCTAATCGATAACTAACCTCAATGTTTGCTGGGTAGTAGCAGCTGGAATAAAACCAACATTTTAGTTGTGCGCTTGTTCGTCATGCTTAGTCTAGTTTGGTTTAACCATTTGCCTTAAGAATCACTTTTAGCACTCGCAGCTTTAGACACTGAAGCCATCGTTTTCGTTCAGCAATGGCTTTCAGGGCTGCGGGTAGACCAAACTATTGTTGTTCTCAATCTCAGAAGATCTAGCTAGGTACTCGTACTTATTTTCCTTTAGCGGACGGGACCACAGACAACTTGTGGGATTACTGACCAGTCATAAGGGGTCCTATTCAGTAGGACGATTACATCCATGCTCTTCAACGAGTGCATTGACACACTTTAACTTTTGGAAGCGAGAAACACTGCTAGGTAGCAGGACATTGTGAGACTGAAGGTGACGAGACCGCCAATGAGCTGAAACCACCATTGTCTTGAAGAGGATGAGACGTCTCAGCGCATTATGTGTCTTTGTAAGCAATTGTTAGGGAGGCTGCCTTGAAGAAGATGAATTAGGATAGCACTTTTATGAACAGGCTTTGTGTGTTGAGAGACCAATCTGCTCGTTGACCGTGGAAATTTGAAGTGAGCGGTTTTTACATAGATTGCTGTTTTTAATGAAAGCGTGGCTTGGTTTTAGTTCCAAATAAACAATCATATGAATTTTATACATGTTAATTCTTGCAACCTTTTTCTTCCGTACTTTCACTTTTTCCAATCACAAATCTTACCTGCCCACGCTTTAGCCCATAACTCACAGCGAAATATCATTGAATTGCAATAAATTTCCATAGACGTCAGCAAAAAAAAACAACAACAAAAAATCGGAAAACACACAAATCTTTGTCGCCGCCAATGACAATCACTAAAACGCCGAAAAACATGTGTTTCGATGGCACTTTAGTTGCTACCAAAAGTGAGGTATATGTAGAAAAGCAACAGCAACAACTAAATGATAATAATACAATTTGTTACCATTTATCTATTAGTTCTAGTTTAATTTATTTGAAAAGTTTTTCTGTTTTCGTTTGCCCACCTCATTTAATCGAAGCAGTGGCTTCAACGTTTTGTAACTATTAACATTCAAATTAAATGAAAAATAAAACAAAAACAAATAAATAAAATTAAGTATGTTAATGAATGAAACCACATAAAAGCATAGAAAAATCACTTTTAATTTGTTTGACTTGTCTGTCGATTGCTACAATAGCAAACCGGAAATTTGAAACTCATGAGGCACGGCACGGCACCATCGTCGTCAGAGCACCCGCTGTTTGGAGGCGTTGAAAAGCAGGCAAAAGCAACAACAGCATGCGAGTGTTTATACATACATATATACATAACAATGGAAAACTCGTGCCCAATAGGACGCAGCAATCACATATTGATCAGATGAAAAATATGTTAAAGTGCTCCAATGCGCAAGCGCCTTCGACAAAAACGCTGCCGCTCAGCCAATCAGCATTAGCGCAGCTTTCGCACCGCAACCATTTTACCATATTCGTATGCAAATAAATTTAGTTTTTGTTTCTGTGTTTTTTTTTTTTTTAATTTTAATCACATTATGTCAATTTAATTCAATTTCGAATCGCAAATATATTAAACGCTACTCACTGATTTAGTATCTTAATGGCTTTTATATTTTAATTGTGCAGATCTATCGCATTATTTATGGCGTTCAGTTCGTTAGCGAGATTTAGTGGTGGCAGTCGAAAAGTTAGTTTATCTATTTTTGGTGGCAAAAAAGGCAGGCGAAAACAACAAAAAAAAAAAAAATAAAATAAAAATTAAGAAACAGTAAAGCGTAGGGGCAGCAATTCAGCTGTGGAACGAGGCGGAAAAAATGCCGATTGAGTGGAGAAACGCGCGATCTATACAGCGAGCGCCTAATTTATACAAAATGCTTAGTAATATTGGTATTTTTTCATTCTAACTTTTGGCGATCTGTTTTACATATGTTTTCTTGTTTATTTTGTCACATCCACACTTTGGTGACCGAATTGTGCATACATTTATTTTTATTTTTGTCAAATCGCGCTAACTGAAAATTTATTACACTTATTGGTAATTTTTTGTTTGTTTCAAATGCAAATTTTTTCCAAACTTAATTCTTGTTTCACCATCGTTCCGCTGTGGTTAAATAAATTAAGCATTAGCATTGTTTCAAATTGCATTTAATTTAGCGTTATATTTACACATTTTTTCGATAACATTGAATTTGTTTCAAAGTGTTATTGAACATTTTGTTCAACAAGCATTTAATTTGCATGAAACAAATTCGCGCGCAATCAATTTTCCCACACGCAAAGCCATAGATAATGGACAGCTGAGGGACGACAGCGTTTGGGAACAGGTTGTTGATATATATGATTTTGTGGATTGGTAATATATATATTTTTTTAAGTGTATTTGAATAGACTGAGTACTTACTGGTAGGAGCCATGAGTATTCTTGCAAGTACCGCCATGTTTGCACGGGTTCGCTTCGCACTCTATCACATCTTCGGCGCATGTCTGTCCTTTGAACCCTTTCGGGCATATGCACTTGAAACTGTTGCCACCGTTGACCGAGGTGCAAGTGCCGCCATTGTGGCATGGTGATGTGGCACAGAGGTTTTGTGTTTCACAATAATCGCCTAGTAAGTTGGAGATAATTAATGATGTTAATTTCGTGAGAAATAAAATGAGATTTATGTTCTATTGCATGCAGTTTCGGTTCGATAAAGAAACTCAGCAATAGAAAAAAAAAATGATTTCAAAATTTTCCAATTACTTAGAGACCGAAAAACTGCTTGCAGGCGCGTATTACTTTTATCAAAAAGCGAATTTTTAGCGCAATATTTTGCAGCAATTTAAAACAAAAAAAGGCGAAAAACAACGCCGAAACGCGTAGTAGGAAAAAGAAAACTTATTTTGGCTTTTTTTAAACTACCGGCCGGAAGAGCTCCTAAAATAACCAAAATAAATCTTTCTTAATTTTTGGGATTTTTACGAGCTGTTCCCGGGAACATTCACGACTTTTTCGGGACTGTTCGAGATTTGATTGTTTTATTTTTCAGCTTTTTTGGGAGTACTTTCTATTTTTTTGGGGAACTTCTCAAGGTTTTTCTTGTGCTACTTTTTCTAGTTCTTATGGTAATTTTTTGACCCGTTTTTGGATTTTTCTGAAACATTTTCGGTATTTCTTGAAACTATTACAGAGGTTTCCCAGGATCTTTTAGAACTTTTAAGATTTTTTGGAATATTTCAGGATTTTTCCGGACCCTTCTTTTTCACTTTTATTTTTACTACTTGACAGGGCCCCAGCACTTTACTTAATTTCTATTCCTAACCTTTATTTTGATAAATAATAAAAAAATAAGAGGATTTCCTTTGCTAAAAAAATATTTGCGAAATTTAACTTTTTGCTCTTGCTTCAAAAGATAAATGAAAAAATATAATCGATGTGTGTTTTTTTTTTTTGTTTTTTGGATAAGTACGCTTTATTTGTATCGTGATTCACTTACCTGTATATCCATTCATGCAGGAGCACGTGTAATCATCCAATGTTTTCAGATTACATGAGCCACTATTGCGACACGGTGATGAGTCACAAGCATTCGGCACTCGTATCTCGCACAAAGATTCGGTAAAGCCAAGCGGACATAAACAGGAGATGCCAAGGCGATCATTACGATACGATGGCTGACAGGTGCCGCCATTTTGACAACGCAGCAAGCCGGTAAAGCAAGGATTCAGGTGTTCACAATGATCGCCGACATAACGTGAACTACAACTGTAATGAGAACAGGGAGAAAAGCAATCAATGATTAGTAAATTATAAAACGCCTATGAAAATTGAGGTTGTAAAAGACATAAAAAATCTTTGTTATGTTGAAAATTATGTCCAGACATTTTCTTATACATACAATGTAAACAATACAAACATCTTCATTATAATCGAACAAAAAGCATTTGTCCTTCCTGGGAACCTTCACTGTGGTTTTCACTAATTCATTTTTCGTAAACCTTGAAATTGACCTCTTTTCTCAACTCTTTCTCTTTAGCATAAAAAATCACCTTTCTTAATCCTCATAACAGCTGCTGCCATAAAACTTTGTACATTCTTTAAATATGTAATTAATGATGTAAGTTGCTACTTTGTCATTTCCTGTTTTGACACCCAGTGCTAAGAGCACAATGAGAGGTCTGAGCCTAAAGCACAACAAAAACATACATATCTACACAAATATGTATATTCAACTATCAAAGAAAGAAGAAACAAATACATAAATTTATGCTTTTGAATGCCAACCAGTGAATTACAACAGAGATTACCGTTGTGGTTCTGCTCCGAAACTTGTTCTAAAAGCAACTTCAAGTGCGAACCACTAAAAGTGGAAAACTAAATGGAAGGAGCAACAAAAAATCATTATATTTAATGTGCATTGGATCGCAACGACAACAAAAAAAAAAAAAATACGAGTCAAAATGCGACAAAAAAATAAAAGAGACTCGTGGTATAAAGTGAACAAAAAAATCAATGTACCAGGGCCCTTTCGCTCTTCCACGCTGGCCACCAGTTAACACGACATTGTCGTCCAGTCACTGCTGCTTGGCGACAATTAATAGTTGTGCCACAGCGCAGTTTTCAGATTTTATTTAACCACTCATACTAAGTAAACCAATGCTTTCGTTTGCTTTTGTTTGTGTTACTTTTAAAAAAATTTTAAATGGAGCTCAACGCCTAAAATTAACCCAACTCTTGCGAGCTACTAAGTGAAAGAAGATACAAATTCAAGCGAAGTGAAAAGACTATGAAAAATGATGGAGAAGAGAAGGAACCATGAAGGCAGCAAAAACAAAAAGGGGACAATGCATAACGTAATAAAATGTGTCTAGAGAACTAGGCGAAAGGGTAAAGAAAAAGTCATTAAAAAAAAAAGAAATCAACAGGTGGTAAAAGGCTGTTGAATGAACTTAGGTTAAAGTATAAGAAATAATCAACTCGATTAACATTTTTCTCCTTGTGAAAATTTAGAACTATTATTTATTTATTTATTTGCTTACGAGTGCTGTATATAATCACTTTTGTTTTGTTCGAATTCTAAATATTTACCATTTTGTCTAGTTGCATTCACTTTGTAGGCAAAGCAAAGACGAGAAGTTTCTTAAAGCCCTTCAAGAACTTTCTTGCAGGTGCACTGTTTTTCTGGAAGAATCGTGGTCCTTAGTCAAAGCATTTAGCGCATTGTAACCCATTACACTTAAGCATTATGAGTCATATACTGATAGACACTGGGACACTTTCAACTAAATATTGCTATTGAAAGTTACTTTGAGTGATCTAAAACTCTGTGATTAATTAAGCGATGACGATGGGGCCGGGACTACTGGAATACTTATGTATTTGAAACAAATTAGCTTTTTTCCGGGCAGCACGGATCGTTTTGCTCACACTTTAGATCCGGATAGATTTTGCTTTAGGCAGATGTCAAACAGGGAGAAGTGGTTGGAAAACTATAGGGCTCCACTCTCGTTTTCACGATCAAATCAAAGGCTGTGTAGGACTGGGGCCAATCTCTGCAGGGGATGGCTTAACAAAACAGTGTTAATCTCAGAGGATGACTGAATGAAATTGCATTGGGGGTAGGGTGCTTCCCGAAAAAGGACGACTGGACACCACCACGTTGCTCTTCATAGAATGGTTTTTAAGCTCTACCAAAGAAAAGATGTACATAGGGCACGATCTGGCTGATCTCTACACAAATATGGCGAAGCTTATGTTCATCACACGGACTTTCCGCTGCCTAAAAGTGACACTGCTTGGCAACCAACCTCAGCCACGACGAATCAAATTTCTCGAGGACCGGTTTTTGAATTATATCAATTTTAGTCCTCTTCTAAGGCAAAAGTTTTAGGCTATCGATTTTTCTAATTCTAACCAGTAAAATCTTTGTTGCGACATTCCAGATTTTTTTAGGAAACCCATCGCTCAGTAAAAGTTTAGAGCAACGAATCGTCTAGGAAGCATTTATTGATTTAATAACCTTGAAACAGTTCTTGAAAGTACCGAAAAACGTCCATAGTAAATCTAATTCTTCATTTCTACAGATCCAGCAGATGTTTCTGAGGCGGTCTTTGAAACAGGCTGCCACGTGATGAATAGGCAGGTCCGACAATGCCCATTAATTAACCACACCAAACTGGCAATCTAACCTTAGGTTAGGTTAGGCTTTGCTGGCTTCACATAGATTAAAATAATGTTGGTAGTATTGTCAAATACATACACGACCAACATGATTCGCTGGAGAGTACACTACTACCAGAAGTCTTGAACTTCAGCGATTCATACATACATTCGTCGCTAGTGTGGCATCTGGATGAACGCCATCTTTGGCTAGCTTGTTCGTTACCATCAACACCTTTGAGCACTTGATATACTGTATTTGAATTGATTGGCTGCCGGGCAGGCAATATGTAAATGTTTATCCGCTCACCCGGGGGACTTATTACCTCTATGTATATACCTAATTATAAACAAAATCGCTTCAGTTTGGAATCCCTTACGGAGACTTATGAAACATTTCAATGCACTCAAATGTTTGAAGTGTGTTTTACTTTTTTTTTTTGCGGCTCTTTAAATAAGCTTTAGAAACACTGCTTTAGTTCCTTCGTTCAACTTCGTCATAATATTTACTGTTGTTCCTTTCTTCCTTATTCCCTGTTTCCTTTCAGTTTTCATATCCTGCTAAAGCAGCTTTAAACTCTTCAACAGCCTTTTTAAAACCACCATTTACATACATACATAAGTGGCATAGAATGGAGCAGTGTTTATGTCATTAAACACGTACATACTGCAATTTGATATTCAATAGGCGTGGGATCGTGTGGGAAGTATTAAGTGAGCAGCTCAAGTGTAATGAAAACAAAGTGCAAGCAATGAAGCATTTAATTGTTGTGCAAACAAGGCAAGTCTAAGTAAGCAAAGGAATTTAACTAACTTGTTTGTGGCAAGTAAAGCATGAAGATAACTGTTTTGTAAATTAGAGAAAACAAGGGTGGGCTCAGTAATTAATACAAATAGCAAATTAATAAATAAATACATACTAAATAGATATGAGATTCACGGGTGCTGGCTTAGGTAAACTTTCATCTGTGTTAAAAATCGATCGATCAGCAAATGTGTAGAGGACCAACGCCGCTGTATCCCACACATTATACCGTTGTGGATCTACTCGTCCATCTTTGCCACTTTAGCGAATAACTGTCGAACGTAAGTGCAAAGAAATTGCAACACGTCCGCGTGCGCAGCAACATAAACGCATTCCTAAGTGCTGCTAAATACAGTAAGGCGAGCAATGACTATTTAAGCGAGTGAGTGGCTTAAGTATTTACGCACATTCGTAATGTTAAGTTGAGAAAAGCAAACACTGAGTAAATAAAAAATAAATGAGGGAATATGCTGCTTTTGTCCGCACACTAAGTAAGCGATGTGAACGAACAGCAACAAAAATGATGGCAAAACAATACTGCATGTTGCAGTAACGAAATTGCTGTTGGAAAATTTTTCCCCTGAGAAAAAGTGTGCAATGTGCGGCAAGTATGCGCAACAACAATGCGGCAATTTAGTGCGTTAAAGTACAATTGCCAATACATCGATGCAACAACCACAATAACAATGCTCGGGTAATGAATAAACGGCAAAGAACGGGGTTGACACTCTTTGAATCTACATACATACATACGCGACGAATCAAAAATCAAAACAGGATTGGAAATGTTAATAAAAAATATAATGAATGAAAAAAAAAACAAAAAGTAAAAAAAATCAAATAAATAAAAAATACGACTAAAGAAATTTCATTAAAATCTTCGCTGAAATAAATATAACAAATTAGCGAAAATGCCAAATGAAATAAAGCAAAATCATAAAAATTAATAAAACAAAAAAGAAGCAAAATAAATAAATAAGAAATTTAAATAAAAAAATTCAAGAAAAATAACACAAAAACCATTACAGTAAAATAAATTGAAATCAAATTTAAACCATTAAAAAACTGGATTCATTAAAAAACATTAAAAAATAACAAAAAGATAACAAAATAGCATTAAAAAGGTTTGCGAAATTATAAATTATTATGAAATTAAAAAAGAACAAAATAACTAACATCGAAAAATAGAAAAAATCGAAATAAAAAAGTTAAACTAAACAAATGAATAATTTAAAAACAAAAGAAATAAAATTAAAAAACATCTTTAGTTTAAATAAAAATATAATAAAATAAAAAATTTGGCAAAATAAAACAAATTAAAATATAAAATAAAATCTAAGTGAACTAAGTGCAAAAAAAAATAAGAAAAAAGGTTAAAAACAAGACTAACCGAAAAGAAAAAAAATATAATAAAAAAAACGAAATAAGAAAATAGATTAAAACTATGCTATTAAAAACAAACAAAAAAATTAAATTAAATAAATGAAAAAAAATAAATTAAAAATAACAATAAAAAACACAATTTTCATATTTAATTAAAGCAAAAATAAAATAAAATAAAAAATCAGATGAAAAAAAATAAATAAAAATATAATATATGAAAATAGAATAAAATCGTAGGGGAACAGAAAACATAAAATAAGACAAAATAAAATAAAATCAAAATACCAAAATAAAATAAAATCAAAATACCAAAATAAAATAAATAAAAGTAAATTAATTTAAAAAAATCAAAAATAAAATAAAGTAATAAAAAATACAACTAAAATTAAAAAAAAAAATCAAGTAAATGAAATAATTTACGAAATCAAAAATTAATTCAATTTAAAACCAAAAATTTAATAAAATAATATA